AAATTAGTTCTCTGTATATCTATATCTTTATATATTATATAAATATTTGAAATATATTTTTAATTATTTTAATTGATTAGTTATTAAAGCTTTTTGAATATTTATTATTTTGTATACAAATCGTATACAAAATCAAAATCACGAATTTTGAATCTTAATAACTTTTTATATAAAATCACCAAAAATCTAAAAAAATTGTAACCAAGCTAATAACTATATAAAGAATCTATAATTTAAATTTTATATAATAATATTCAATATTGATAGAATTATAGATATCGAAAAACTACTGTTTTTGGTGTAAAAGGGTGGTCCGAAAGTAGGGTAGTTGACTTATATGTACCCTTCACGATGTTACAAGAATTTGCTCTCGCAGCTCATCTAAAATATTCGTGCTCACTATAGTGTAAACAATCCTTCCATATACACGGCTACGCTCTACCAAACTACCATGAGTGAGCATCGATATTATTGCGAACATCGCTCCTCAAGTATTATTTATCAGCGCTCCTTCGTAGAAAGACCACCAGGTTGACAGGGTAGAATGAGTCTGGTACGAAATCTGTAGGTGACGGAGTCTTTGAATGCTAGGCCCTAAATATTGGACCTAGGTTATAAAAACCATCAGACATGGAACAAAACTTTTCATTTACAAAGGTATTGGGTTCATGACTCGCCCCTTGAATGTTTAGCGAAGATCGAAAACTGCCAATGTGACTGAGGGATCATTCGATGTGGAAACTGATATTCTGTGGATAACATCCACTTCGTTCACTAGAATTACAAACCATATCTCATTTCTCAGCACAAGTACTGTATCAATACTTGGACATTTTGCTACATAACTGTTTCAAAACTGTACCAAAGATTCGGAATCCGAATTTTTATCGAGAGGCCGCCCCAGAACGAGGCCATATCGACTTGTGTCATACCGAGATGATGTACATCAATCATATCGTCGTAAAAATGCAGACAAGTTCTAGTATAGGGATTAATCATATTGTTGGAGTGATGAGGGAGAATGGCAGAGTGGTGATCAAATAATATGATGTTTATTTCTAGAAATAAAATCCCTCATACACCTGCATCAGAGACCCTTCGTTTCAGAATAGCTGTATTTATATGTGAACTGCAATAACACGACTATCTAGAGAGCAAGCAGATCTCAAATCATTCGACACGTTCTTAGTAATGTCAGAACATGTTACCGTGTGTGTGTTGCGCACATAGTACGACGATACAGCCGATATTTATCTTTCTCTAACGGGTCCAGATGGAGTTGCCTATCAATGCCGCTCAGGACTGAGACGACCCCTATGTCGAATCATGGTTCGCGATGCTATCAATCTGCCATATATTTTGACTGTCCCCAAAATATATATTCAATAATAGCATTAGGGACGATTGATCCGCCAACACCATTCTCAAATCTTCTGACTAATCTGTGTTCCACATCCCGATTTCGAAGAAGCAAAGACGTCACTGTCTCAAAGAGGACACTTCTAAATCTTTACCAGAACACCACATAAACTACCTCAACTGATTATTTTGGTCCCTACTTACTCAAGTAGATACCAAATATACATGAAATGCCGGTACTTCATGACTGGCCAGTATTCAGATTTCGACCATATTTCCTGTTCTATACTGATAAGGTTATCCTGTTTGAAATTAAATCGCTGCACTGACAATGATATGATGCTTAAGGCATAGGGTTATGGGCATCAACAATAATAATAGTATTATGAATGTCAGTGATTCTGCATCAGGAAACCGCAGCTTCCTGAACAGGAAATACATCGCTTACATACCAAGGACGCTGTTACGCATGAACAAGCTATAAATCTACAGTGTACGATTTACCCGCATCACATTCATGTGGATGCAAATTTCGACGATAGATGTATCCATCCAAGACAAATGAAAAGGATACTTGCACAACTTGACTATGTTCTTCAACAGCTCGCGCAAGAGTTTGATGTTCGACTTGCGGATGTTGAGATCATTAGCCCCTCTTATTTTCTCGAGATACAGGAATGGAACAAGACAATACCACCCATCGTCGACGAATGTATGCATATTCTCATCCAGAACCAAGTAACTGCCCGAAGAGAGGCTGATGCCGTTGTGTCATGGGATGGCCGGTATACCTACACCGAATTGGGCGATGTTACTTCAAGACTCGCGCATCGCCTAGTCAGTCTTGGTGTGGGACCTGAGGTCGTGGTGCCTCTGTTCTTTGAAAAGTCGATTTATACTGTTGTATCAATGTTAGCGGTTCAAAAGGCCGGTGGAGCTTTTGTCTCATTGGATTTGACAGCGCCTGGCGCTCGTCTCCACTCTCTCATAGAAGCAACTGGAGCAAAGCTTGTTTTGGGTTGCCAATTTCAGGCACACAAGATTGAGGGGAAAATTCCGTCTCTATTGATCGTCGATGGTGCTCTTATTGGCTCATTGCCACAATCCCCGAGAGCCCTTGAGACTGGTGTAACACCAGACAATGCTGCATATCTGCTCTTCACATCCGGATCTACAGGGACGCCAAAGGGGATCATCATCGAGCACCGTGCGGGCTCGACCAGCGCTATCGAGCACGGAACAGTAGAATGTGTTTTTTCCGGAATCGCGCGTTTTTCAGTATGCCAGCTACACGTTTGATATGAGCGTTTCTGAGATCTTCACAACACTCATACGTGGAGGATGTATCTGTATTCCATCAGAGTGCCAAAGACTAAACGACATAGCAGGTGCTATGAATATGCTTGGGGTCAACCATGCATTCCTCACTCCTACTGTCGGAAGCTTATTGAAGCCAGACGACGTTCCCAATTTGAAGGTTCTCAAGCTCGGTGGTGAAGCTCTCACACGTGAAAATCTCGCACTTTGGGCATCGAGAGTCAGACTTTCGAATTCTTATGGAGTAGCTGAACGCGCAATTCGATCCGCATTCAAGAATTATTTGATGCCAGAAGACAATTTCGCCAACCTTGGAAAGGCAGTTGGGTGTGCTTTGTGGATCACCAATCCTGCGGATCATAACAAACTATCACCTATCGGATCTATAGGAGAGCTGCTCATCGAAGGATCGACGTTGGCAAGAGGATATCTTGCAGATGTTGCGAAGACGGAATCTTCATTTGTTAAAGCCCCCAAATGGCTGAAGTTCGCCTTCCCAGGTCGAAGTGAGCGTGTTTACAAGACCGGAGATCTGGTGCGTTATTGTTATGATGGTTCGCTGGAGTTCGTGGGTCGAAGCGATACGCAAGTCAAACTACGTGGTCAGAGAATTGATTTGAGAGAAATCGAACATTTTCTGAATGCAACCCCAGACGTCCGCCTCGCCTCAGTTCTTATACCTACTTCCGGAGAGTTCAGTGGCAATCTTGTGGCAATTATATCCTTGAATGCATATCTCGAAGAAAAAAGCATCACGGATCTCAACTCGATTCAGCTGCTACCATCAGACTGGAGGCGCACTGCCGCCGAGTCATTTACTAAGTGCGACGACTTTCTCGCAGAGAACCTGCCGACTTACATGCTGCCAAATGCCTGGATTGCGGTCGAATTGATACCAATACTGCAATCTGGAAAGATGAACAGGAAAAAGCTGCTCAACTGGGTAGAAGACATGGAGAAAGACGTGGCCCACAATGTTAAGATGATACGAATCAACGAGGACGTGGACGCCGGTCCGATGGTACAAAGAGAGCTTGAGATACGTTCAATCTTTGGATATGTTCTCAATATTCCTGAAGCTAGCCTGGGCCCAAAGACATCCTTTTTCCGTATAGGAGGCGACTCTATATCTGCTATGCAAATTATGACCCTTTGTCGTGCTAAGGGCATACAATTGACTATGCAAGATATCCCGATACACAAGACAATTGCTCGCTTGGCCACCTCGACAACTGCTGATAGTCAATCATCTCTCGACTTGTCTACGTTGACTGAAGAATATGGTGTGCCACATCAATTATCGCCAATTCAAACTATGTTTTTCGATCTCATGCCAGATGGGAATAATTTGTATGATCAGAGCTTTTATCTAAAGCTGAAGTTCAACTTGTCACCAAAAAGGATCTCAGATGCAGTTACTACGATAACCCGACGACACTCCATGCTCCGTGCCGTGTTCAGCAAGTCCGGTGATGGCTCTTGGGTGCAAACGATTCGTCCTCCCGAAGAGAAAGTCCATTCATTCCAGTCTTACGATATTTCAAGACCGCAAGACGCTCTAAGTGTTATTGATAAGTCACGAAAACTTGTGGATTTTGAGAAGGGTCTGACATTTGCACTTTCATGACTGCACCGGAAAGACAGACCTTGTTCATGACCTGCCATCATCTTGTGGTAGATTTGGTATCTTGGCGTATCATAATGCGCGATTTAGAGGACCTTTTGCGCCTGGGACAGTTGCTTCCTCTGTACTCGGTACCGTTTACTGTTTGGTCTGACCTACAAATTAAGCAGGCCAAAGCAGTAGAACCCAAGTCAATTATCCCAACCACGAGGCCGGACACGAATGAAGACTTCTGGGGAATGGATGGCATTGTGAACACAGTCAAAGACAACATCCAGCAATCATTTTATCTAGATCCTGATACCACTGTAGTGTTGTTGCAGCAGAATGAGCAGGGGACGCTAGTTGAGCCAATCGATGTCTTCATTGGGTCTTTGTTACATGCTTTCCGAGAAACGTTCGTGGATAGAAAAACGCCAACTGTGTTCTTTGAAGGACATGGGCGTGAACCTTGGGACAAGGCTATTGACGTAACAAATACCGTAGGATGGTTCACCTCTATGTGTCCAATCTCGATTGAAAACGAAAAGGCTGCCTACCTGCTCAAAGCCATCCAAGGCACTCGAGATTTACGACGCTTAATCAAGGATAATGGCAGAGCTTTCTGGGCTTCTAGGTTCCATCATCCAATGGGACAGGAGCTTTTTGGAAGATTTAGTAAGATGTAGATGTCGTTCAATTACACCGGTCTATATCAGCAGCTTGAGCGAGATGATGCTATGTTCGAGGTGGTCGCTGAAGGAGAGTACGAAACCGACGATCCCTCCATCGTTCGATTCGCCCTCTTTGATGGCTGTCCTTATCAACAATGGTCGGATGAGAGTTCTATTCACATGGAACAAAAAGATGCAGCATCAAAAGCGTATCAGAGAATGGATTGAAGCATATCAAAAAAGACTGGAGAATCTCGTGGCTACTGTAAATTCGTCCTGGGTTGGAAGTACCGTGGGAGATATAGTCAATCTCGGTCTTTCCCAAAGCCAAATTCAGTATATGATTGAATCTGTGAGACCTTCAGAGGGCCTCCTTACCCCGTCTTAGGTTAGAACACATTGCTCTCTGCGCTGCGATACAGCAGCATATGCTCAATACGGAGTTGACCCGACCAGGTTTTATCAATTCCGAATTCCTGTTCCAAATCTCTCTGCCCGAGCATGAAAAGAAGATCGACTTGACTAGGTTCACAGGCGCATGACAACAGACCATCAACCGACATTCGATTCTCTCAACCCGTTTCTTAAAGCCTGATGTTGAGAAAGAAGAACACTTTCAGGTTGTCATGAAGACATCCATGGCTGAGTTTCGACTTGTGAAGGTAGTTTCCCAGCCTACTCTGGACGAACTTGTGGTACCATACAAGAATGAAGACTTGCACTGTTCATTCACCGTGTTTGAGACGACATATTTTCGTTACTTTGGCAAGATGAATGTCAGTCATTGTCTGATTGATGGTGGGTCAAGACAAATTATATACGATGATCTGTCACAAGCATATGCAGGGAGTCTGTATGCAGTTCCAGCTCTGCCGTATGCCAAAGCAATCTCAGCTAGGAGTGCAGTCGCCGAAAATTCCATCAGATTTTGGAAAGAATATGCAGAGAACACTACAAGATGTCTTTTTCCAACAGCTTCGAGTCTACAGACCAACACCTCCGCTATAGATATAGTCACTGTTGATGTTCCCGAGATCTCTCTCCTTCGCAGCTTCTGCACATCGGCAGATGTTACGCTCACAAGCTTCTTCCAAACAGCATGATCTATCATACTGAGCCTCTACACAAGCCAAGACTCGACATCTTTTGCCTACTTTTCCTCCGGCCGCGAGACGCTAATTGAAGACATCGAGTCCGTTATGGGACCAATGTTCGTTCAGTTAATTAGCGCAGCGGTCCTTGATCCATACTCCAAAATCATCGAGCTTATAGAGCTACAAGAACAAGACAACATCCGAGCATTACCATACCGAAATGTTACATTGAGCGAGTTGAAGGGAGATTGTGGAGAGTCTCCAGCTGATTTGTCGAATTCATACTTCAATTACACAAAGCGACAGGAGATGATGCAGCCTTCAACACATCGGTTGATATTTGAGACGATCTCTGCTAGAGGTTCAATACATGTGAGTACCCTTATATTTGAGCTGTTTGCATCATATTGACACATGTATAGCACGCGCTTGGATTTGAGATCAATGAGGTAAGCCGCGATACCTTAAAAGCTACTATAAGCTACAGACCATCAAAGTTATCTGAAGAGCAGATGAAAGATGTTGCGAGGGTTACGAGTCAAGTATTGTCAGTAATGGTGGCTTCAACAGAGGAGACCTTGGGCTTGCTGCGTCGACGGTTCGAGGCACATATTTAGATAACTGAAGAGCCAATTCGGGAGGATATATCTATCAGCAGTGCGAACGATTTATCTATTGTAAGAGTTCTGGACCTTGCTAATCGCACCCCCGTGACAATCGTGACGAAATCCCTGCAAAAACTAGGTTTTCTTATATAAACTAAAATATTTAATATTTCATTCAAATCTTTTTATTATTTCCTCAAATCTTTTTCAATAATAACAAATATTATTATTTATATAGAAAAGAATTTGATTTATTTTTATTATTTTTATTGAATTATTATATAATATTAAAGTTGAAAACTTTCAAAAATTATAATTGGTAACGTTTTTCCCATACAAAATAAGCGCTTTTTTATCAAATTTTATAATTTTCATTTTCAACTGTGACCAAAAGGGTATAAACAGGACTCCGATTGTGTACTTAGAATCTACAAGTGAAGAGCTATGTAGGATGCTAAAAGGAGGACTATATATACAGGTATTGGGAGCTATAAAAGCTAGGCCCAGAAGAGTGAAAAAGTCCTAAAGATAAGCATTATATAATGCTTAGATCTAAAACTGTAAAACTAAGGCTTTAAATTATGAAAAGAAGATTCAAAAGAATTATTATATCATATTATATACATAATATGAACTAGTGGGTAAAAGAGAACCGTTTATTCCATTATATTATTCCTTTTTTCGAAAAAGTGTAATCTTATATATCCTTTTTATAAGCAAATTGCTTATGATTTTATTATAATTATTAATTCTGTTATTATAGTTTTCTA